CCCCCCCCCTCCTCCCACCGCCAACCCCGAGAGCAAGAGGCCAAAAGACCAGACAGGTTTGGCTCATTTTCCTTTCGTTTTTCGCACGTCTTTCCTGTAAATTTTTTTTTTTTTTTTTTTTTAATGTAAATATCTAGCTATATTATATGAGGAATTTTGTATATACATATGTACAGACATGTATATATGTATATGCCTTTGTTTTACTTATGGAGCCTGTAACAAAAATAATTTCCCTCTGGGATTATTAAAGTATTTCTGATTCTGATTCTGATAATTCCGTCCATTAAACCCTGAAGGAGGTCGGTTTACAGGCATTTCCGTTCAAAATGGCGGAGCTAACGCACATCTCACTTTTCCCTTTGCAGTCTCCCCCTCAGGCCAGCAGCCCCAGTCCGCTCAGCTCAGAGAGAGGGTGGCGGAGCTGGAGATCGAGATCCAGAGGTTTAAGAAGGAAAATGCCTCACTCGCCAAACTCAGACAAGAAAACGATAAAATCCAGGAGGAACTCAGGTGATGAGCTGCTTCTAACCGGGTTTAAGACTCAAATCCAGGTCTCTTTAAGCCCCCGTTGTCTCTGGGTCAGTTTGCTTCCACACTTCTTTTACAACCTTCACTTTTCTGTGATGACTCATCACCATATGAGCCTGACTGCAGTCAGAATAATTCAGAATTCCTTCCGTTTTTCCCTCTCAACTGTGATAATGTGTTGGAAAACTATCCGTCTGAAAGCTGGAACACAGAACTGTTGGATCATTTTACTCTTCCTGCTTCAGAAAACGGGAGTTTTTAGTGTGCTGCCATTAAAAAAAAAAAAAACACTGAAATGCTTTAAAAACCAGCATCCTTGTTCATTTTTTCATTTCAAAAGTTTATTTCAAACCTGCACACATTTTACAATACATATAATGACAAACAATACATATGCATGGTTTAAAAAGGGGATGGAAGAAGCAAAAGCTTATACATGTCCATCCTGATAAGCTCTGGAGTGAAAATAATTCAGAATGATTTTATTTCAGATTATCTGCTTTTACCACAAGAAAAAGCTAGAATTCATCGTCACCGAGGTTTATTTGACCACATGTGATAGAAGAAGGTCAAATAAATGTTTGATGGCTTTTTCTCATCTGTCTTGTAGGAAAGAGCGTTTTCAATTTGAACAGACAAAGAAAGAGGAGCTGGCCAAGTTTGAGGAATACAAGAGGGAGGAGACCAGGAAGCTTCAGAGGGAGCGCAAACTTTTTGAAAGGCACGCGACGGCCGCCCGAGCCATCCCCGACAAGAAGGAACGCGACGAGATCCAGGTCCAAAGAAACCTCTCCTCCATCCCTAATGCAGCCTGCTGTCTATAAAGCTGTAATAGGATTTTAGATATGATTTTTTTATAGCGAGTCTGCTCCCGTCAGGTCAGTTTTTAAAGTTAAAAAGTTAAAAAATGGGTTAAATCGTCTAACAACTGCTTCTTGGAGACAGCACAGTTTACCCATAATCCCCCAGTCCTCCATGTTTGCTTACTGTTCACAGTGTTAACCCGATTTTTAGTTTGAAACCTGAGAATAAACGAGAGTGGATCAAAATTATAAAAAAATAAATTTATTGTCTGGGCTCTAACAGACAAAAACCTCTCTCTGGGTCTCAGTGGGCAAAGAGCCCTGAGATCTGGGTGATGGGCATTATCTCCTGGGCTCGATCCGCCTCCTCAAAGGAGGACTGGACACAACCAAGTCCTATTGGCCAGTTACCTCTGGGCATGAACAGGCCAGGTCCTAATTCATGCAGATGACACTGGAATGTGGTAACAAACGGTGTGTGTTTGTGTTGACCTAAAGGTGGATCTAATGCAACAGAGAAAGAAAAAGAGAGAAAAGACTTTAACATAAAATATAGTTATAAAAGAAAATAAGACAATCAGTCATTTACATAGATCATGTGATAGCATACAATGCTAAAATGAGTAATTATAGCCAAATTCTAACAGCAAAGCCAGGAGAGAAAAGAAAAGAGAGGAGAGAGTCTGTGGTTACAACCAAAGACTTTAACACAAAATGTAGTTCTATAAGAAAATAAAACACTCAGTAATTTACATCGATCATGTGATAGCTTACAATGCTAAAGTGAGTAATTATAGCCCAATTCTAACAACAGCAAAGCCAAGAGAGAAAAGAAAAGAGGGAGGAGAGAGTCTGTGGACACAGCCAGAGACTTTAACTTTAACACAAAATGTAGTTCTATAAGAAAATAAAACACTCAGTAATTTACATCGATCATGTGATAGCATACAATGCTAAAGTGAGTAATTATAGCCTAATTCTACCAACAGCAAAGCCAGGAAAGGGATGAAACTATCCGGAATAACCCCCTCTTTGGGAAAATTCAGGGCTGAGCAGCCTTTTTGTGTGAATCTGCTCTGTAATCCGGCGGCTTTCGGGGCTCCTTCCTCCACTCGGAAAGCTTCAGAAGCTCGTTGTGACGGTCAGAAAGGCTGAATCTGATCGTGTTTCCTCCCTCCAGGCGCTGAAGCAGCAGCTGGGCTCCCTGCAGGAGGAGCTGAGGAGGAGGGAGAGCCGCTGGGCCTCCACACAGACCCGCCTACGGGGGCAGATCGACTCCCTGAACCAGGACAACGTTTCTCTGCGGGACGAGGTGCTCACACCTCCACACTATCAATCAATCAATCAATCAATCAATCAATCAATCAATCAATCAATC